TTAAAATACAAAAATCCGTATAAAACTAAATTTAAACATATTTATTTAATATATTAAAATATTATGAAAAATTAAGAATTATTTACTTTAAAATAAATACAAAATAATAATTATGTGCGATTCTTAATATATATGCTCTTTTTATGTTGAGTTTGGGTTATTTTTCTTCCATTTTGCATTCTTTCACACTGAAGTGAAGCAATGAAAGATTTCTGAATAGTCATTTCAACATAATTCAGATTTACACTCAGGAAAACAAATGAAATAATTACCACTTTCCCTGCTTTCCTTATGGTTTGGTACTTAGAAGGATTCATCGCCTTGGTTGACTTCTTAGTTTTCATCTTATCCATCACAGCATAAACTGCAAAGCAGAGCCTTGCCATTCTTGGTAGATCACAGACATTAATTTCAAACTCCAGTACTTCATTCCAAACATGGTCACTTCTCCCAGATATTTCTGTGCTTACAAGAGTTTTACAAAGGAGCTCTGTACCATGGAAAAGACCAGCCCTAACATGAACCTGCAATAACGAAATGAGAAATTTTAAACTTGCCACAGAACCTATAGAATTCTGCACAGAATATTATATAGAACATACATATGTGCATTGCATTTCTTAGAAGAAATACTGATTTTGAGGTTTTAAAATGAACCAAATAATGCTCAAGAACACATTTTTACTTTGCTATTCATGTCCTTAGCCAAATCAAAATATATTTGTTTAAAAAATGCTGGCTACCAATTTTTTTCAGTGCTGTGTAACTTAGATTACCATGTGACTAATAATAATAACTCACTCGTAGTAATAAGTACAATGTATGGATATACAAATGCTACTAACTTCACACACCTAACACAGAAGGAAACTGTAGGAAACAAATAACTAAGCAGAATGGAAAAGGTAAAACTAATTTTCTGAAATCAAATGCAAATCTCCAGGTAGAACCTGTTTGTGCTTCTAAGTAAGAAAAGTTTGGGGTTTTTTCAGACAAAGGAAAAAAAAATCGTATTTTATTTAAACTGCTTAAAAAAACGTTCAGAGGGAACACTGCTGGCTGACATCAGAAATCATCTGTAATAATAATAGTAACAACAATACATATACTTTTCAGAAATTGTTTTGTCTTTAGCACCCAGAAACCATCATCTGCATTTCTGCTTAGTAACGTATGTACACAGGAAACTGCGTGTTTCCAAGTATCCATATTCTTGGATAGTTTCAACAGGAATGACAGGAGGTCTTTATTTTTGTTGCCTGAGCAAACAACAAAGAGAGAAATATATCAACTTCTTCCAGGTGATCTTCCAAAGTATCAGGGGGTTTGGGTGAGAAAAAGATGAACTGATGTTGCAGGTTCCCTATGCTCCTCAAACAACATTCTCAACATTCCCTTTAAGCTACTACATAATTTCTGAGCACTGTAAGGGAAAGGCTGAGATGTTTAAAATTTGGTACAGGTTTTAGGTTAAAAAAATCACCTTTGAATTCCCAAAGACACAGACAAGATCTGCTCTGGGAGAGAGCCTGTCTTTCCCTCCTTCAGAGAAACAACAGTGCGATCAACATCAAAGCAGTCCAAGTATCAATATGCCTTACTTGGCTACACCAGCTTCTGCTCAGTACTAAGTTCTCCATCAACTAGCTTACATAAACTACTCATTGGCAAACCGTAATGCAGTTCAAATGAAGTCATGCAAGAGAGCAGATCTCTCTTCAACCCAGTATAACCCCTGGAGGAGGCATTAACAGTCAACACATGGTCTCCAAATAACACCCATTCTGGACTTCTCTGGAACAATTGCTACTACTGATCAAGAGACTGCTGTGACAGCATAGGCAGTGGCAGAGGCATTAGGTCTTGGAGAACACACTGTTATGGGCTACACTCCATGACACAGGTGCCATAGGAACATCCATTATTAACTGACTCATAGACTTACATATATATGATCCCTATTTCATTTCCAAGTTTACAAACTATCACTGAAAGAAAAAGTTCACTTAAAACAAACTACATTCACTTGACTCCCAGCCATACTCATAAGAAACACTCTTACCTATGTTTGGAATGCACAGCTTCACCACTGTGAGTGAAGAACAGCAACATGAAGATACATTAAACAGATCGCATGAAAGCAACCTTACTTCAGAAAAGCTAAATGTATACAGACTATACACGTGTGTACATACCTATATGTAACAACACCCATGTACAATCAAAATTCTTCTTCACTGTGCTTAAAGAGGGTTTTTATTTCTCTGTAATTAAAGATTGCAGCTGTATATTCCTCAAAAAGGAAATACTGTGGCTGATGTCAGAGAACTGATTAGAATCAATTGGTTCGTAACCTTCTTTAAACAACTCACCAGATAGTCCTTTATTAACTCATTTGGAGTTCTATTATACGTTCAACTTAATCTATAATCAAGTTTCTTTGCTGATTAAAAGCTATCTTATGGAAATATAATTACGTCTAGTGTATTACCTGCTTGTGCTTTGACACCAGCAACAGTAGATGTTCTAAAATTTACCTGTTTTGGGCTGTGTGTGTACGTCTGGTGGAGATTTTTAACCAGGGGGTTAAATTTACATTGGCATAATTCTGAATATCATTCTTTGCTATTATCTGATGTAACTTTACATACACCACACTTCCCCAACTTTTCTTTCACTTTATTAATGTAAAGAGTATAAACAATCAAGTAAAGTTTGGTAATAACAAAGCATTGCATTGTTGAACACAGTGCTACTTTCCTTGCCTTTTGGCTAGTTCTAGTTCTACGATTTCCAATCCTGTTAATGTAAGGGATTGGATCCTAATTTTGTTCTTTTTATTCTGACACTGCCCTTCTAATAATGAGATGGTATGTACTGAAGGTGCAGCCAAAGAGCAAGACAAAAAGAAAAGCAATTTCACCTATCATGTATTTGGAAAACCGGGTGTTAGACAGCTAAAGTCACTTGTGCTCTAAGTGTAAATACTCAATGCAGCTCAAATTAGTGGAGTGCTATCCATCTGATAAATGTTTTGTTTCCCACTACAAACACTGCATTTGTGAACCCTGTTGGTGGTTTCAGCAAAAATGGATGAATATTGGCTTGATCCAAGCACAATGAAACTAAACTAACAATGGCAGTGAATTAAATAGACTTAGAATAAGGACTAGGAAACAAATATGTTCTCAATAGTGACAATTCCATAATTGTGTAGACAGACGACATAGGGAAACATGCACAAGCTTGCAAGGTTACTACATGCAGTCTTGTTCTTGGGTAACTACAGGACTATAAAGTTTTCAAGATTAAAAAGCATTCAAAATACTAAATGATATTCAGGTAAGTGTCCGCAGGCACCGATACCAAAAAACTGTCAGTTGTTCCTGTTTCTCCTCAAGCTTTGCAATCAATGTATTTTCTTTTTCCTCTAAAAGCGTACTGAAAGTAACCAAGACTCACTTTTTCTAAGTATGACACCCCACCCCCAAAATAAAACCCAGTAGCTGTGTTACTTCTACAATCCACCTTCTCTTTTCCCTTCCCTTTTCTTTTAAAAGTTTTAAGAGTCTACAGAACATAGAATTAAGATATTACAACAATTGGCCAGATAATGGCTTACACAAATAAAAGGGAAACTTCTGGTTTTGCAGACACCCATTTCCACAGCCAAAGTGTCTCAGGTAGTAAAATTGTAACTATGGATCATTTAGGTATGTAGTAAAACGCAGTACTGCTAATATACAAGAAGGTTATAAGAGCAGTTTTGAAGGGAAAAATAAAATCCACAGAGTATCCCAAATAAACCATGAGAACAGCAAACTCCAAAGGCTAACTGAATTTCTTCCCTAACTACATGATTTGCTATGTAATTTGTTGATTGCCAAGCAAAGTAAAGGAAACGAATTTTGTTCTACCTCACAGGCAAGTGCCTTGTAAGATCTAAAAGTAGTTGTGCAATAAATTCCCACGTGTTAACAGCTTGTGGTCTGTAAAACAGTCAGAAGCCCAGTCGTGTGCAGTTTTACAGGAAGTAATACTACAGCTTTTTGTGTTCAGCATGTTTAGAAAATAAAAGACAGATTGTATAAAAGTATGCAGTCTGGGCTTAAATACACAGAGTATGTTCTGGACTACAAAAGTACCTTATGTTCTGTTGAAAAATGTTCAGTATTTCATCTGCTTCTGTTTGTGAGATGTTTTTGACAGTTTAGTTTGAACAAGCTTATTTTGCTCCAGTGTCAGTACTTTACAAATACCTCTTAAAAAAAATCAGGTACCATTTGAACATTTGTGTTGTACTGTCCATGATTACTGACAATGTTCTAATGCACATAGTAAGGTATTGCTTTATTCAGACAATAAAGCAGTACTTGAGCAATAAAGCAAGATTTTAAATAATACTACAGATATAACTGGAAATAACTAAAAATGCTTTTGCTGAATTGAAATCTTTATGACTGAGTTCAATGAACATTGAAAATCATTACAATGATGAACAGAACATCTTCGGACACTAGGCATAGTTACTTACTTTGGCATTTTCTTCTGTATTTAGTTTATTACCCTTTAACAGAATAATCTTGAAAGGGTTGGAAATATCCCATACGCTCTGAGAAGTAAAAGCAAAGTTCATTTTTAACCAATGTAACATACTGAGACCTATTTTATAAGCTAAGCATTTTAAGCAAAAGTCAGAAATACAAACAAAAAAGTTACATTTTTAAAAATATAAACTTGAAATCTGAAAAACTAAATTGGTTATCGTGATTACAAGAGTACCCAAAGATGCCCTAAAGAGGAAAAAAATGTAGAAAAACCACTCAGCTGAAAGGGGGTGTGGGAAAATGAGTACTACTCACTGACAATTCACAATAACCCTTCAAATTTATTGTTCATTCTGAATATATACGTATTACACATAATATATACACTGTACATAATGTATACAGAACAAAGTCTGTCCACATTTCTTAGAATGACAGTATGTAAATTATAACTGTCCTTTAAGGCCATTAGGTTTAGCAATAAGGAAAGCACTATACTAGAAGTTGGATGTCTGCTATGCCCAAAGTTGCCATCATTGAAGTGGCAACATCATGCAAGATACCTGGGCTGATACAAGAGGTCACAGACCACTGTGGCCCAAGCTAGCGAAGCCTACACATTGCACTGAAGCTGCAGAATCCAGGTTCTCTGCAATAAGTTCTGGTAACAGATTATTATCCACTCTTCTGGGTTGTGATTAAAAGTAAATCAATATAGCAATGAAAAGTATATGGTGAGGGGAGGAGGAGGGTGGATGAGGCAAGAGAATATAAGCAGTTTCCAAAAAGCCTCCAGGTCTGCTATTTCTGATGTAAATGTTCTTGCAAGCAACAGGAGGCTCCAAGTACACCTAGGTGACTTACACTGGAAAACAGCAGTAGTAGCACAAATCCCAGGCACTGTTACTCATATTCCACAAGTCACTGTTTGTTTGGGTATTAGACATTCTCCGTATCAACTTACAGTGGTTGTTCTTGTTTTTTTTGGTGGCAGAGGAAGAGGAAGGTTGGATGATTTTCGGTTTATGGCAGCTTCTATGGCAATCATCTCCTGCTCACACATCTTCTTTATGGTGCAACACTCAACCAGAGTCAGCTGAGGAAGAGTTCTGTTCATCACACAGTTGCGTATATACTAAAACCCCATGAAAAAGAGTTGTTATCAGCTAGCAGACTATTTCTGTGACAACTTTCAAATCAAAGAAACAAATAATATATTACAAAGACACAAAGAAAATGGTGCACATGTATTTTACAATTGGAGAGGGCTGCAGACATGAGGATGAAGACTATCACTGTTCAACATAGCTGAGCACCCAGTAGCACAAAAAGCAAAGTCAAATTTTGTCCAAGTCACCAGAGAACTGTTCTGGCAAGTTCCAAAGGGCTTTACGTACCTGAAACTGAATTAAAGGGTGATCACCAAAAACATATTCAAGCCTTCCACTAACTTGCAGCACATAGTCAGCAGGATCAACTTCCTCATCTTCTTTTCCATGGATAGTCAAACGTTTTCGGATTGCCAGCTCATTCAGCTTGATGGGATTCATGTTAGGAGACACCTGAAAACTAAATACATCCTAACAAAACACAAACAGGAATATCAACTGTCAAACTTGTCATAGTCAGACATACAAGGCTTGAACTGTAACATGCACAATGGAATAGGTAGAAATACTTAACTGTTAAAACCAGACTATTTTTAACACTTACAGTTAATGTCAACATCTTTAGTGCAATCAGAGCAGTAACACTAAAAGCTGCAAAATGGTCAATTCACAAACTTTTATAGTATCAGAAATACTTTAAGAACACAGAACTTGGCCTAATTGATACAGAAGTGATTTAAAAACTTCTAGAGCAGGACACTGACCTAGAAGCCTATATTTTAGAATGCAAATGAGGGAGATTATAAATCATGTATACATTTCAAGGTATGCAGCAATAGTAGATGTGTGTTTTCTTCTTTCTGGCCACTAATAAGTTACCCTCTTTCTAGGTACCACTGCACTCAGTAGAAAGCTTCAAGCAATAAAGCAGAAGAAAATGTTAATGTGATTTATATACAAACCCACCAACTTCTTTGTAGGAGTGCAGAAAAAAGGAATAGCAGCCAATACCAGCAGCATTCTGAATACAACATGGAAACCTTTCCAATCAAGCTTTTTGAGGCTATCTACTTATTTCCAAAGTATCTCTAATTTTGATGCATTCTGAAAAGGTAAGAAGTTACTTCCTTTTTAAATCTAAAAAAAAGGTTAAAGTTCCTTATGTAAAAGATGATCTGTGATATCTTTCATCTCCCTTAATCTATTGCATTATGCTCTGCACACACTTATTTGCAAAGGTTGATTCAGGGAGTCTTTTGTTTTGATTTTTTATTTATTTACAAATGTGAAGTGTTGTCTGGCTTTTGACCTGTGCTTTATTTATATAGAAGTTTACTGGTAAGAAGCCAAGCTGCCCTAATGGAAAGATCTAACTCTGGAGAGTAAAGCAAAATTAGTGCTGTTTTTAATCAGTTTCTGCATGGTTCACAACAGCTTCCCTCTGTCAGAAAGCTGCCAAACTGTGAAGGCTTTCTTCTCCTGTCATAACTAGTAAAGGGTAGACAGGGAATGACACTTTTTCTTCCCAGGAAGATGGTGCTCTGTTACAGCTGCCTTACTTCCAAGTTGTAGGTCTTTAAATGTACATCACAGCAAAGGGGATCAGTCTCTTCTGCTGCACAAATAGGTAGCTTTTACAGCCCACACACACATTCTAGATGAAAACGATTTCAGCATTACTTTCTCTCAATCTTGAAGAATTCCTAGTGAAAGAACACACCAGTCCCCACACCTTCCCATTTAATCCTCCTGGGATGATGCTAGTACTCAGTGCAAGTAGTGAAGTCTGGAAGAGAGTTTGCTGTACTGAAAAGCAGCTCAGATTTGAACTGTTAACAGCTCTGAAGGTCAGAACTGGCAGCAGAAACATTCAAAACATTTGAAATGTCAGCAGCCGCTACAGCGGCACACAAATACATTCTGCAGGAGCTTTTGCACTGCTGTTGTACTATTAGCATATGCATATATACACAATATGTTAATCAAAAGCTGACAAACACACAGATATTCTCTCTCCTGGACAACTACAAGTCCTCTAAGCTAAAAGGACTGGAGCAGGTTTTGTCATAAACCCATCTATGCATCCAGCATCAGCTAATGACCAAATTTAGCATTCACCTCTGCATTTAGTGTTTCCAGAATCAGACATTATTTTACCATTTGGGATTCTTTTAAGTTTAAAAATGTGGTATTGGAAATAATAGAGTTTTGTAAATAAAATGTGCCAAATCATTAGAGAATCAGTATCTAGCACCTTCATCAAAATTGGACACAAAATATAGCCTGACATATTTACACACTTGGAGAGATTTTCAGGTTTCCAATGCTGATTCCTCACTGTAATTCAAAAGAACACAGTGTAAAAACAAATAATGGGAATGCTGGACTCAAGTAGAATTATAGCTACTTCAACATCAAAAAAACTTAAGCTAAATCATTTTAGATGGAAACTAAAGGGGGTTTTATTTTAAAAATAAGCTGTGGATTTGTTAGCTGAAACAGAAAGGTATGTCTAAGTCCCAGCTAGTGCTTTATTTGTCTATATGCATGTCTAGCATAGGGAATACTAATCCCTCTTTTATTAAAACATATTGCTCAACGTAATTAGCAGAGCAACCCCAAAGATGATCAACAGTGAACCTCACAGAGGAGCATGTTGAATACGGTGCCTCCCAATTCACCAGCATCCCCCAAGCCTAAAATTGAACAATAATAAAGCAACACAGTAACAGTTGGCCAAAAAAAAGTCCTGACAACTTGGAATTATGTTTTATGTTTAAACAAACATGAAAGTATACAGAATATACAAATACATTTTGACTTCAGGAGAACAACTGTAATTTGACTTTAGAAGTTCCGTTTTCAACTGTAGGTTTGCATCCTCACTTTCAACATCCCGGTGGAAGAATTTGCATTTTAAATCAAACGCCATAGTGTTAGTACTTTAATTCACTTACATCCTTGAACAATCACATGGTAATTCAGTTCATAATCAAGAGCAGTAGATAAGATGTGATGAACCATTCCTACCTGGCAGTTATCAAAATGAACAGCCACTACAAGATTTCCACTATAGAGCTTATCTTGGAAGCTCTCTGGGACAACAGGTTCCTGTTCTGGTGGGTAAGTGTGTTTTAACCAGTCCATCCAGGAGAGACCCACAAGCGACTGAATCTTTTCTTCACTGATTCTCCGCATTTTAGCTCGGAAGTCATGCACTTCAGGATCTTGCAAGGCATCAAACTCGTGGAGACCTGAAAGAATTCAAGCAAGCAAAAGGATTTTTGTACAAATACTGCTCACCTATTTAGCATCCCACTCAAACCTTCATTATTTTTAATTTAAGATTAAATTAAACAACAGAGGTTGTTTTCTTCAGACATCCCATCCAAAATTGCTGCTCAAAAAGTTCTACATATTGGTTCTACATCATCCTCTACATCAGTGGACTTCTGAAGTTACTTGCACAATTCCCATGCAACTTGGAATGAGAGTTTAGTTCCAACAGCAAGAACCAATGCCTCTCTTAGGTACTATTAAGTGGAAAAAACAACCTCATCCTGAGTTTGAGATAATTTGGAAAGCTGTAAAGCCTCTTCTTAAAGAACAAATGAAAAGAAGGAACAGCGAATGCACCCTAAAGACCACAGAGGAGAAGTGATTGCAAACTATATATATTTTTTTAATTCTATAGAAAGATGACATCTTTCTTATTTTGTTTAAAATCCAGAACAGGATGAGAGTGGGGCTGTAAATAGATACATTTATTCTTGAACTTTTCTTGTGATTAAAATTTTCTACTCAAGTCACAATGACAGGACTGAAATTTCAACCTATCCAAGTTCCTTTTCCAAAATACGTAAAGAGAGAATACACAGTGGAGAGTCCACACAGCTGTGATTCTTCGGTAGTTCAGGAAGCACAGGGCCTGCAAGTGTTTCTTTCTTTTCTCCTCAACTTTGAAGGACGTTGTCCAGGTTATGCAAAGCACTGACCACCTTTTGCAAACAAACCACTAAGGCTGAGACAGGAACACATTTTTCCACTGCTAAGGTACAGAATAGGGACTGCATAAGGAAGGATCTCACGCAGCTATAACAAGCAGAAGATTCAATGAAAACATCTGAATCTCTCAGAATGTGTCAGAATATGTCTGAATGGTTAAACTGGCTAACTGTTCCCATTGTCAGTTCCAACAAATGGGCAGACATCGTACTGATGAAATCTAAACAAAACCTGCAGTCTTTATAAAAGAGCTAACAATGGTTCATTGTTTTCAAACAAGAGGTATGACCTCACATGACCCCGTCAATCTTGATTGTATAACCCAGCAGAGTAGATTGAAAGGCTGAAAATTCTGAAATAACATCAAGAACAAGTTACAGTGAAACCTTTAAAAATAGCTTTTCATTGTGCGCTGAAAATCAGTGCCACAACTGAGAGCAAAACCAAGAATCTCATTGTTAACCAAGTCAGAAACCGTGTATAACAAAAACCACAGTAAGTTCAAGTTCCCTCTGTTTGCTGTTAGGCTATTAATGATAACACTTTTCAGGGATTATGCTTTCCTTCACTTAGTAATAATATTATAGATTTTCCCATTATTTAATAAGATAAAATTTGCTCTTGATTGATGTAGTAATACAATACAATACAGTACTGAAATACAACACTGGAAGTGGCTTTCAACAGCTTTCAAACATTTCATCTTGAGTATTTAAATTCTTTTTAACTACAGCAGCATTAGTTTGAGAAAGGGAAGTTCTGTCAGGGAAATACCTCTTAATGTTTAATTTTCCACTGCTACCTGCCCAGTTGAGACCCTCATACAAAACAAAGTCTACCCTCATCTAGGAAAAAAATTAAATGTAATTACCTTTGCCTATAAGTACACCTATTTTGGAATCCAACTTTTCTCCTGGATCACAATTCCTTGTCACTAGTTTCAGGACAGGAAGAAAGGGTCTAACATCACAAAGTCTCCGTGTTTCATCCTCTAATTCTTCATGTACAGCAGTTTGATTCACACAGGAGAACATGTAAGAGTCAATCTCCATGAGGAGATGAAAAAGTGGATAGGCATGTGCCTGCTTCCATAACAGCTGCAAAGCAAATAAAGAAACAAATCAAAACATGAAGGCAGGGACATATCTTATGGAAGTGAAGGTAACATTAATTTCTATCCATGTTCCCAAAAGGACTTAAGAGTAACATGTTTGCTACACCCTATACATCATTATATATGTCTTGTTTGCAGTCTCTATCTTGAGGTTATTGTCAAGCAGCAACTTGTGTGCATAAATATCCTAAGGGTAAAACACACATAGGGGCAGTACTATGAGGTGATGAGAGAAGAAGGCACTACCCCTCGCCTGATGCTTATCCTGCTATTGACCCAATCTAGTCCTATTTGCAGTAAAGCTGCAGGACTGTGGCTGTCACTACCGTAGCAAAACACCTACTGATTATGGAGGCAGATGCTCATGACACTGACCACCCAACCATCACTCTCCTCCATCCATTCTTACAGCTTCCTATCAAAACCCTTCCCCCTCAAGACACATCTATACTTTATTTTTCCAGTAATTGTTGTAATACACAGACAACAAGTTCTCAGTATGGAACTAATTCCTGAATAAAAATTCCCCTGTTGCCTGGAGAACCTTGAAGTAAATTTCTTTGTCCATTACTGGCAGGCCAGTAAGACATCCTAGTTGCCCATAGAACATTAAATAATGCTTCACTGAACTGAATACTTCAGTAGCAGATTAAACCTTAAGTAACACCAATGTTACTTGCTGTAACTTGACACATAAAATACATCATCCTCAGCAGAAAGCTAAATTGGAAGTAAAGAGAGCTCTCCTGACCTAAATACTACTCAGATCTTTATCTGTGAGAGGTTTTTTGTCCTCATTTTAAAAGTTTACATTTTATTGATTTGTTTCTGAAACTTCTTTTGAAACAGGAATTGCACGATCAGTTACACAGCTGCAAAAACCTCTTCTCAAACAACTGGAGCTGAACTGCATTCCTTTTGCCAAACTGAACATATCTACATATATGTCATAGGTTGTACAATGAATCCTGCCTTCCAGAAAGGTATTCCAGTGTACTTTGCCTAGCTTAGTGAAAGCTGAATCTAGCAACTACCTCTGGTGTAGAGCAGGATTTCAAACTTTGAAGGTATCGAAAGACTTAATCTGCCATTGCCTCCCGGTTCTTCTCCGATAGCTAATTATGTAACAACCTATACCATTTTTTTAGCTCCTGAGTTGTCTAACTTAAATTTCCACCTACTGGAACTTATTAAATCCCTTAATGACCAGAAGATTTTAAAAGCTGGTGAGTCCCTGAAACTGACTTCCACTGACAGCAGCCGTTTGCCATCACCCAAAGTCCTGGCCTGGCAGAACTAGAAAGTCTACAGAAAAGAAAATGTCTTTGGCCCTCAAGTACTTGGCTATTTGTCTTATACGTCCAACTGTCCACAAATTAGGGCTTGTCACAGCCATGAGGTGCGAGCAGAGCTACTAATCCAGTATATCATCAAACTCCTCATTATTGTTTTGTTTTCAAATACAGCAGTTTCCATCAAAGAGCTCTGCAGTTACAATCAACATTCCTTTACTTTGAAAAACAGCTAAATATCAACAGTACATGTTTGTAACGTGTTAAGTTTCCATATGTGAACCATCAAGCAAAGCAGACAGCCTCGGTCATGTCCCTTATTGCTGTCACTTACACACTCATTTTTTAAATTCTTCATCAGCTGAAATCACTATCAGCTATTCCATTATCTCACCCACCACCCACCAACTAACCTGCAGTTGCCCACGTTACCCATTTACTAAAACAAAGGCATGTTTCCAGTCAAATATTTCAAGTATTTGAGCATAGCATGAATCTTTTTTCTTGCATCACTTCAATTTGTAGTGGCACTCTCATTACTGCACATACTAAGTGCACATACCAAGTGATCCACTGCATTAAAAAGTACTTCAGTGTCTAGAATGTTTCAAATGAGGAGTACAATGAATTGTGGACGAATACGTACATAAATGTACATCAACCTACTACTGATACAAAGAAAATAATTTCTATAAACAAGTGATTACTGTCAGTCTGAATAAGAATAAAAAACAACGTACTTATTTACCAGGCAATGCAATGGAAAAGAAATCACACTTATTTATTTTCTTTTAGACCTTTGTATTATGCTTTAAAAAGCAGATGACTCATAATTCACTCACCACCCAATTCCACTCTAGCCTGCCTAAATGCCCTCACATGGTCATTACCTGATGAAAGGTCAGTAGATTATTCTTTAATATCTGTGGTTATTCCTTTACATGCTTCCCTTCCCTTACTTTTCAAGTGATGCCCTAACAAGACATTTGTACACAACCTTTAAAAAGTGGCATAATAATTTTTAAACATCCATCTTTGATGTCAATCGAAACAGAAGCACAATCTGTGACTTCTGTATTAAAAATCAAATTAGACAGTGTCTCCTGTTTGTGCACTAATCAGAGAAGTGTTAAATCAATGTGCCATGTAGTAACGATATGTTAAAGACAGGTTTAGACGTAGCAATATATTAATATAGAGCTATTAGAATAACACTCTCAGCTGAAATATAACCTTCAGCAAGAAGTAATTTCTCCAAACCTTGCCATCTGCCCAAAGAAATTCCAACCCCCAGACACACATACATTTATTAATCAATCTGCTACGCACGCGCCCTCAATACACCATTTTTTATGCCTACTCAAATTCATTGCTTCATTTGCCAAAAGGCACATAAAAATCAGGAACAGCACTCATTCCAAATAGAAAGTAACTTTTACATTAATGCACCATTTGGTGCATTACCTGTTTAATCTGAGATATGGTGGCATCTCGAGGGACATCCAGGTTGATATAGATTCCAGTGGGCAGCAGGAAGTCCACAGATATTGAGCCATCAGCGCCAATCTGCGAATCCACTGCCCAGATGTCAAGGCTGTCTGTCACGGCAGGAGGCATTATGGAATCTCAATAATATCATAACCACATGGCCTTAGGGGAAAAAAATATTACAATTCAGTATACTTAACCTTCTATAATTAGACACACATTTTAAAGCCTTTGGAAGGTTTACATAAGACTGGTTGTACAGCTCAGCTTGCAAGTCTGGGGTCTCAAATGCTGCTATTGCTAACACATAAGCATAGTTTTACTCATTAATTCCATTTAGTGTAATAAAAGCCCTTTCTGGTAAAGCACTATTGTAGCCAGAGTGACATATTCATCTTAAAACAAAAATAATCTTCAACTCTTATTAGAAAGCAACATTTTCCTCTGAAGACATTTATCTCTATTTGCTTTCTCCCTTAAAGCAAGATCATCTCCAATAAATTCAACCCACTGCATAAACTACATCTACTGCAGGGTAAGGGGAAACCCTTTGTCTGACCTACTTCAGCTCTACACTGGCTTCCTGATTATATGTCCTTTGTATTTCTAGACATTTTTACTTACTCTTAATGTTAGCACTAGTTCTTCTGACCTTCCAAGTCTTTTGATTGCCTATTTTCTAAAGATCCATTTTCCCCATCAGTCACTAGTCACTGAAGTATTTACCTTCCTCTTCATCCACGCAATGGGACAAGGAGTGTTGTAAAACTGTAAATCCCTGACAAAGGCATGGGGAGTGTTGTAAAACACTATTGTCTTTATTGAAGAATTCCTTTACAATTTACCCCTACACCTTTCCAATTCTTGTTGGACATCAGGAGACGAGGGAAATCACCATTTGTAAAACAATAAGCCAGTATGTGCAACTCCACTAATATTACAACTTTCTACTAGTTTTATCACTCCTTCCCTTCAAGATTTCTTCCCTGCTCTGAAATCAGGCCTGTTCTGCCTAACTGAGGGTATTTCCCCTATTACAGCACCAGCAGAAAAAGCAGGATGTAAGCAATACGCTGGGCTGCTGCTCTTTATCCGTCACAGAGCAGGTTCAAACTCGCTCATCGGCAACTGAACAAACCCCACATTAGCACAACAGCCTTCTGAACCCCAGTTACTACTGCTGACTATTGCTAAAAAGGTCTGACACAATGGATTTTCCTCTTTGTTAAGGCACTAGGCAAAATCCACTGTCAAAAGGTAATCCTTTCTACAGGTGCTAAACATACAAAGGTATTCCTAGAAACGGGGCAAGATTACTTAAATTGGTCATGCCATTGAATTACAGATAATTATCATGCTGTGCATGCTTTTTATATATATGTGTGTGTGTATGTGTGTGTTATAAATTTGTATATTTGGTTATGAATACAGCTTCTCAGCCCTAACCAGGAAATCTTCTTATAATGCACTATAGTTGAAACTACCACAAAATTCCAGGAGACCAACCACATCATAACAAAGGTGTTTTGCTCCCCTCTCTCTCTCTCCAGCTTTTTTCTTTATGAAACAGCTTAGTTTGGGAAAAGTAACACCAGCTACTAAATACAAACTTTATATGCAGGAGTTAATGATTCATTTATAGTGAGTTAAATTTGTTTAATAGTCCTATTCCTCAGAAAGGCAACTCTTTAAAATTGGTAGGCTTTTAAATCAAACGGTTCAATGTCATATGCAACATCATCCTTAACTGACAACAGAAGCGTGAAAGTGGTACTTCAGAAAGTCTCTCTGCAATCCCTTGCTTGATACACACAGCTTCCAATGAAATAAATAAATAGGCAAGCAAGTGTAGGGGAAAACTGAATGTGCCTACAATGGATAACAGAATATGCCAGCAGCACAAAAATCAACTCCTATAGAAGCGTAACTCTCCACTGACAAACAATTAATATTCTGTACATATTATAAAGGGTTGTTCAGTGCTAACTTTTACTGATCATCATTGTCACACAAGTAGTACCATTTGGATCACCATTTAAAATATTCACAGTCCCCATCTGCCCCAGTCCTCAGTACTGGTTTCTATCCTTCCAGTTACTTTGAATATAAAAAATTGCTCATCTGACAGTTGAAAAAATTCAGGAAATTAAAATCTCCACTAGAGAAAGAGGGTTGAGTAGGAAGAACTGAAACCTCCTAAAGCTTACCCGTCCCCAATGAAACAGCAAGTTCAAAAACCCAAATGGAGCCCAGCTAAATACTCACAGCAGCTCTTTGGTACTGCAGCTGTGCTACTATCAGCTTGCCAGTTCAAAGCTGCTTTAGATATGAGACAACACACTTCAGTCTCACCTCTAACTGCCATGTAAATACACTTTCCATTCAGCCTTAAAAAAGTTGTGAGGACCCACACAAGTGTAACTGCTGTCAGTATATCTTGTTACCACACTAAACATGTGGATCACTCAGTATTTTGCTTGTACTAGATAAAAAAAAATAGATAAAAATACAGTAGGACTTCCATTAAGGGCAAACAAAACAACTCCAACTTTCAGAAAGGTAAATACATAAGGAAAAATATTTTTCCTCAATAAAAGCAACAATTAGGGAGCTCCTATTGTCGTCATTATTGAATAATAGTTTTATCACCATTAGGTCCTCATTCCCCATAAAACCACTACACTGCACCATACTGAATCAGACAACAAGAACTGGAGGTGAGGGGTGTAGACCTGGTGAAAAGAACAAATCAGGTATGAAGATATTTTAATTACCAGATCTTCACAAATCCATCCCTTCACTTGTCAAGGGGTGTAGAAAATTCTGCAGTGTGTGGTCTCTCAAATTGTCTAAAGGTAAGAAATAAACTTTAACCCCACCATGCAACACAGACTATACTATAAGACTAACACAGCATCTACCTAAAAAATCTAGAGAAAATGCATAGTTCCTCATTACAAATCAGTGTATCTTTAACAAGCTACTATTTAAATGTGATGTAATTTATTTTTCTCCACCCAGCTACTTCTACCCTTAAAATCCTGATTGCAGCTTTGTTGGAACTGACAATAGTAGTCACAGAAAAATCATTCAAATTATCTAAAACTCAAGATCTTCCACACTTGGATGCACACATATAATGGTGTGGTATCACCATTATGATGCATTACTTTACCAGGTATAGGAGCAAGGGAAACATTCATCTGTTCTATGTAGTTACTTTGTTCATAATTTCTATTTGCATTCTGGGTAACATCTTCTCTATTTGCATCCTCTTTCGGCTGTTTTAACACAACATTTGCAATTATTGCACTTCAGTGCATCAACAAGAGTTTAAAATGTTCAAAGCAGCAAGACTTAAAAAATATGCCTATAGCCAAGACACCAAAACACAGCGCGATGAAGTCCTTGTAAGATACTTGTTTGTAATCATGGACTTCCAACACTGACATCAGAAGCTTTTACAGTTCCATTTCCAGTTCTGATTAAAAAGGGAAGAGCAATCATCACACCAATCTGAGCATGCTGGAAGCTATTCTTGCTTTCAGGTGCTTACTTAGTATTTCCTTCCTCAAGGAAACGGGTTAGGGTCTTTTACAGCCAGCACCCGGGTTCTACCAGTAGCTGACATGACAGGGGTCAAGAGAGAACAAGTATTTGTACTGGGAATAACACTGATTGCAACTTAAGACAGGCCTGAGAATGAGTCATGAGCCAAAACAGTAAAATGTGTGGTAAGACTAGTGACTAACACTACTCACATCTAGTAACTGAAATGAAGGCAGAAAGCCATCTGGATTGGGAGCAATAACAGCAAAGACATTTTAAACAACTTCCAGCTAAAGGGAAAAAAAAAAAAAAACAACAAACCAATACCAACAATCAAAATGATAATAAAAAGCTATTTCTGGCTGCTAACCTCAGAGCTGTTCTTGCCTACTGTCACAGTAAAAAACAACTTCTCATACAGAAGAAGGAAGTAATTAAAACAGTACTTAATCTTGGCTACTCAAGTATCTAATCGATGATTATCTGAATTTAATAGCAGCAAAGCCCAATACTAAACACACACAATCTTAATCTATTAATCTCAAACCCACTCACTTTATATTTTAATATACCAGCAGTTCTGAAAAGGCTGTTCACACTAATGGAAAGAAATGGAACACAGATTAGTAGAACACCTGCAAAAGGAGAACAAGAGAAAGAAAATTTAACACTGATCTTTGTATTTATTTATTAATGTACACAAAGAAGAAGCCCCACAACAAAATTTCTCAAACCAGGACAACTGCCTGTGATTTCAGCCTGCTATGTCAGTTTATGTTGGTGCCTGGCAAGATCATGGAGCAGATCTTCCTGGAAACTGTGGTAAGGCACATAGACAGTAAGGGGGTGATTAGGCTTCACTAGGGAAAAAACGTGTCTGACAAATGTGGTGGTCTTCTATGATGGGGCCACAGCATTGGTGGTTAAGGGAAGAGCAATTGCCATCATCTACTTGGACTTGTACAAGGCATTTGACACTGTCCCACATGGCATCCTTGCCTCTAAACTGGACATGCATGGATTTGACAGATGGACCACTGGATAAGGAATTGGCTGGATGGTCACACTCAAAGAGCTGTGGTCAACAGCTCCATGTCAAAGTGGAGACCAGTGCCGAGCGATGTTCCTCAGGGGTCAGTGTTGGGGCCAGCACCGTTCAACATCTTTGTTGGCAAAATGGACAATGGGATCCAGTGCACTCTCAGCAAGTTTGCCAACAAAAACTAGGTCAACATGTTCCAGTGCCTCACCACTCTCCCAGTAAAGAACTTTTTCTTTATATCTAATCTAAATCTCCCCTGTTTAAGTTTAAACCCATTATCTTTGTCCTGTCACTACAGTCCCTGATGAAGAGTCCCTCCCCAGCATCCTTGCAGGCCCCCTTCAGACACTGGAAGCAGCTCTGAGGTCTCTACACAGCTTCTCTTCTCCAGGCTGAACATCCCAACTTTTTCAGCCTGTCTTTGTACAGGAGGTGCTCCAGCCCCCTTATCATCCTTGTGGCCTCCTCTGGACTTGCTCCAACAGTTCCAAGTCCTTCTTATTTGGCAACACCAGAACCTTACACAGGATCTGAAGAG